TATTGTTGTTCTCTTTAGTATTGGACACTTTATTTGGAAAATTTCATTTGCCTTGAATGCATTATCTTAGCCACCAGTAATTTGCTGGTTGAAGTGCTTTGGTAGGCGCAAATGATTTTTGTTATCATTACTAATTATATATATATATATAATTTATTTTTCATACTTTCTTTTGTTATTTTGTTATTTTTTTCTATAAAAAATTGATTATTGGTTGGTATTATCAAACTTTCTTACAAAGCCTTGCAAGTTAATTTGATTTCTTAATCAATTTCTAAAAATGTGTTCATTCTATTTTTTTTTTTTTTATATCTATAAATTTATAAATTTAATGGGGCAAAGTCTCAAATAGAGTTAAAAAATAGATTCCATATTTTTTCTTGTTGAATTTGCCATTGTTAAGGAATCAAAATTAAATAAATATAATCCCATCAATTCCTTTTAAAAATAAAATACCTCACATTTTAAGTTGTAAATTTATGTTATAGGATAATCTTTTTCTTGAAAACAAGGTTATAAATAAAAGGTTTATTGTAAAATTCAATGAATAAAGGTAAAACTGCCAATTTTTTGTAAAAAAAAATCTAAGATTCTTGAACAATATTAGCAACAAGGCTTTTCACAACATTACATCTATTTTTCAAATCTTAATGTTTGTTCAAATATTTAATTATTTTCCTTTATCTTTATATATTTTTGATAATAGTATTATGTTAATATTAGGCTATCTGTACATTCATTAGCAAATATATCCTTTAAGCCTGTTTGGGCCTTAAAAAAAAAATTCTGATAATATAGACAAGATTCCTCCATACCCATTTGCAAATATATCAGTTTCCATAATAATTTTTTGATATGAAAAAAACATATACAAAAAAATTTTGTTACAGTCTGAATGATATAACACCCATAGCCAAACTAGAATATATCAGAAATTGAGAAATTTTAATTAAAAATTTTTCAAATTGCCAAATAATAATTTAAGGTGGTACAAAAATATATACAAATATTAGATATATGTTTGATAATAGTTGATCATATGATACAAAGCTTCAAGGAAATAATATTTCAAATATATCCTGTTTTAACTTATAGCCATTCAATTGAGGAGTTTCTTTTCTATTGAAGTTTTATTCAAAGTTAGACTTCAATAAATCTTTTTGTGAATAGAAAAATGTAAATAAGATACCTATATACACAGTATAGAATTTTGATAAAAATACAAATCTTCTAATCATTCTAAGATGAATTGAGCCCTCTTAGAGTTATTAATATTTTTTTAAAAGATTGATCTGATTAATTTATCAGTTATTTAAATTAAAATCTCTTTTGTTTGATTTTGAAAAAACTAATAACCATTGGCAGGCAATTTTGATTTTTGAAATGAATGAAGTCAAATTCCCAGACCAGCCAACCTGGAATATATCTAGGTCCTGTTTCAATATTAAAATGTTTTGAACTTTCATACAGGATATTTTTGATATTTATATTTTTAAATGATAAATGAAATTTTTAAAATCCACTTTGGAAAACATAAAATGTCAGCTTTTTCAGTTTTTCTGTTTTTAAATTAGTGGAATACACAAAAGAACTAAAACTTTTTATTTAAAGCAAGAAATTGAAAATGTAGAAATTTTCCAAAATTCTTTTTTAAAATCCCAAATGAAACCACATTCATTAAATAGGCAGAACCAACTTTCTTTTGGAAACACCCCACCCTTTCCATTGTATATTTGTGTGAACCTCCATTGGCAAGATTTATATCCAAGTGCACATATTCCAAAATTTTAAATTGAAAAATATTGAGAATTTTATCATTTTTACCACTTATTGCAGTATTTTATAGCAAGAAAAAGAAAAAATTAACAGATAAAAAATATTCTTGTCAAAATTGTATCATAATGACATTAAAAGTTTGTGTATTCAATTGATAAAAATTATTGTTTTTTAAATAGAATTGAACTTTAATCATAAAATTTCCATATATGCATTTGTGAAAGACCAAACCACTAAAATTTCTAGAGACAAGCAGTTTTAAGGGGGGAGTTTCTATATTTAGTGTGTTGTTAAATACAAAAAAATTGTTGAAAATCCTCAATTTGTTTTTATTCAAATCAGTTCCATCACACTGTGTGTAGTTATTGTTTTGATTCCAAATTATCTTTTGTTTTTTTTAGTAAAAAAGCTTTTGGCATTTGAAATTTTTTATATTTTTAGATATTAATATCTGTTTCTTTGAACCACAACATTAGACTTCATAATGGAGTTAACTTTAAAAAACAACTGTAATAAGATTTGATTTCCCCTCCTAAAACTGCACTATAAGGCATAGGTTTTATATATATATATTCCTTAACCCTGTAAAAACTGTTTTCAAGATCAGATTTTCTAGATAAACTATTCAAAAACGGCAAGACAACAATCACAATGGTGATGGGATAATATTGTCCTTAAAAGAAATTTAAATATGTTTTTCTTTTGGCTTTAGTTAGTTCACCAAAGAACAATCTAAATTTTGTTTAATTGCTCTGTAAACATTTTTAGAAACCTGTATTTAAGGTTCTGAACCCTATGTCCAAAAATCAAATTATTTTTAGTACCCTATTAGTCTCTTATAATCTTTTCAAAATTTCAGTGGAAAGTTTTAATCAATTCTTTAGGAAAGTACATCTTTTTATTTATCTATTCTTGAACAAACAATATGGCTTTCATTTTCTACCAGGTCTACTTTTGATGTGTTAATGATGTCCCTGAATATGTATATCAATGTATAAAATGTATTTTTTGATAATAACAGCAAAGCTTGAACTGTGGCTCTAGATATCTCAAAGTCATTTGATATGGTTTGGCATATTGGTCTTCTATACAAGCTCCAGGGCTATGGTATTACAGTACAATTGTTTGATTTAATCCAATTATTACTATCAAATTGTGAAATGAAGGTCATTTTAGAATGGGCTCACTTCCAAATTTTTTCACACGAATGCAGATGTTTCCCAAGGCTCAATTCCCAAGTCCTACACTGTTTCAGACCTTCATTCAATGATTTTCCTGATGTCATCAGTTGTATTAGGAAATTTATGCAGATAACACTACCATTTTTTACTCCTGTCAAATAGCAAATTTTTTTGTGTCAGAGCTGACAAAGTAAAACCTTTTGCTGCTCTTGAAAAGGATCTCCAATCAGTGGTTAACTGGGAGCAAGAAATGAAAATAAATTATAAATTTTAATCCCTCCAAAATAAAACTTTTCATTTAACCACCATATAGATCTTTTCCTTACCTGGCATCAGCATGGCTAACACTAGACTCTGGAAAGCAACAACACAATGCCTTCTTCTTTTTTTTTCAATTTTTGATTTGAAATGGTGACTACATCAAATCAATAGCTGCATCTAATGCAAGGAAATTTGGCTTACTGTGTCATGCTAGAAAATTTTTCTCATCAGGGTCCATGTTGCACATTTAAAAATCTACCATATATGGTCTGATGCTCCTGCAATTCATTTCAAGGTTCTTGACAAAATCCAAAGAAGGTTTTGTAATGTAATCAATCCTGACTTGGCATCTTGACTTCAGTCACTTTCTCACTGATGCAATATGGCTTCCCTCTATCTTTTCTACAAATATTTTCATAGCAACTGCTCCGACAAGCTATTTTTCCCCTGGTGCCCTGACTACATGAATTTAAGCATGATACTAGGTTGGCATCTAGGTCCCACATGTTTACTGTTGAAATAGCTAAATGCAACTGCCACTTCTACTCCAACACTTTCTTTTCTCACACTTCCTCCCTGTGGAACTCCCTTCTATTTACTTGCTTCCCTGATAAATACAATCTTCAAAAATTTAAATGCAATGTCAATCACCATCTTCTATCTTCTTGAATCCCATTCATCTTATGTCCTTTCCTCAATCTTCCCTATACTCAGTCTTTTCTCCACTTTCACTCCCTGTAACTCCCTGCATACTAGTGGCATTCTTGCCTCACTTGGGTGAAATGATTAAAAAAAAAAAACAAAGAAAAGACTTTTCCTCCCTTCTGACTCAGATCAAAGCTGTACAAATTTTGTCTAAATTCTAAACACATTCAACTTTTATGAGCCATTTTCAAAGAAAGATAATACCTGTATTCCTAAAAATGCATTTTGAATTTTCAAATTTGGTTTCAATAGCACAATATCATGAGATAGTTTCTGGTGCACATTTCACTCATCTGTTCTTATTTATTTATTAAATTTTAGATGTTTTTGCCCAAATTGAATGAACTTTTTTCCTTTTTTCACGATTAATGCTTCCAGTATGTGACTAGCCAACTGGATTGGACTGGGCTATTCCACCCACCTGTTTATCCCAGGTTGGGACCAAAGTCACATGTTGTGGAAACTCCTGACCATTTTATACCAGGTCAACAATGGTGATTTCCAGGACTCCATCTCTATTATCTCCAAAAACAGGTGGCCCTATTGAGAGAGGAACTATTTTCAGTTTTATTTTTAAGCAAAATATTCAAAACAGTTTTCATAAATTGAACAAACAATATGGCTTTATATATTACAATTTTATAGGTATTTTTGTATGGACAGGTAGTTTAGGTATAGCATTTTGTGTAAACAGTTCATGGATTATGATTTTTGTTCCTAGTTTAAAGGTGTCTATTTTTTTTCCAATAAATTGTATGTATGGTAAGACTATATTATTTTTCCTGAAGGCACAATTCTAGGTATAAACAAATAGGTTGTAGGTTTATCATATAAGCTGATGGCATGTAGGTGAAGTTTTTTCCTCATACAAATAATTAGTTTCTAATTCATCTTGCTTCCTATACTACGCCTGGCTGTAGTTTAATGTCCTACCCTGAACAGAGGTGAACTTGTTTTGTGAAAATAACCCATAATTGCAGTTTAGCTTCATGTGCAAGATGTGGATGCAGTTTAACATCATGCTCAGGACAAGAGGAAAGATGGAAGGAAAAGATATATCAGAGATGTTGATTGGTTTTATTTATGAAAAAAGGAAAGTGTCACATTAATAAGAAAGGAAGGAAAAAAGGAAAGATAGAGGAAACCTCCTGACCAATAAAGATATCAGGTGCTAAATGTATTGTGATTCAATGAAAAAAGTAAGAACAAAAGGTAAAGAGAACTTATGAGAACAAGGTTTAAAGGTGTCATTATATGAAAGGGGACTATATTATTTTTCTCCACCCCCCAAATCCTAGAATTCAAATGATAATACACCAACTGGACATAGTTACACAGTACCCACCCTGAACAGATAGATCATTGCAGTTTAGCTTTCATGCAAGATGTGGGTGGACACTATTGTGAACAAGCCTGCTGATTAGTAGAAATTGCATAATAATAAAAAGGAAGGAAAAAAAGGAAAGATTTCAAACCTGATGAAGTGTCAGGATTCTTAAAGAAAGTGCCTGAGAACAAGGTCATTTTGCTCACAGATGACAAAATGAATAATCATTTGAATGTGAGAGGCCATGATTTGAAGGAACAAGTTCAAAATGACCTGCAGCTTTTTCAAAAAGTTTATGAGTTAAATAATCTTTTGGGGTACCTGCCTTTGTTACATACATACACACACACACATATTTTATATGTTGTAGATAAATAAATAAGTATAAATTAAAACCTACCATTAATGTTGCAGACTAAGGGTCCACCATGGTCACCTTGGCATGCATTGATGCCTCCTTGAAGATAACCAGCACATAACATTCTTGGAGTGATGTCTTTGTGGACTGTTTCACAAACATGACGAGATATCATGGGAACAGTTGCTGCTCTTAGTACGGAAATATAAGCTGCAAAGAGAATTTCAGAAGTATCAAGACATATTCAAAATGCTGTGAATACCCTAATTAAACAGTCAAATTTGTACTAACACTTGATGCACATACAGTCTGTCTGAAGTCATTATGCAAATCACATAAACCTCAATAATGGCAATTTACTAGTCTTGGTCAATCATTAAGAATAAAGAAAAGATACTAGTTAGAAAGCCATGATTACATACATCCTGAAGAAAGGCATGAACTCATTTCTTCTCTATCAAGACTTGGATTAAATAGTAGAGTAGACCATGTACTCTAACTTTGTATGCAGCCAGTCTAAGAGAAAGATAATTCTGAATTCAAAACTGAAGAGAAAGCATTAAGTAACCATTCCAATGTCTTTGCCAAGAAGTCTTGGCAAATTATTGAGAATAAAGAAAAGATACTAGTTGGAAAGCCATGATTACCTACATCCTGAAAGGACATAAGACTTTTCAAAAAATCTAGCCTAGAAGGAAGACAAAAAAATGAGAACAAGAAGGATAAAATCATTATGCCTATTTTAATTTTTTCTATAAAGAATGTTATGAAATGAACTCTTATTTGTTGTTTGTATGTAAATTTATTGTATGCAAAGGAACATAGGAATTTTTATAAATTCTTTTTGTATTTTGGGGAGGAGGATCATGGAGAGACACCAGAACTGTAGTTTTGATCAGTTTCTTTTGTTGAATAAGACCTTTATTTAAAGTTATCAACATCTCACCTTCCTGCTGTTTTTGTATTGCTTTTAAATTCATAAAAACTTTATTCAACAAAAGAGGGAAAAATTTAACATGTCCAAAATACTCAAACCATATCGACAGGACGTAGATCACAATGCCCCGAATGCTTCAAAGGACTAGAAGCATTGGAAAAGAATGTTTAAAAATTTTATTCTGGAATGTGGGGAGGAAGCGTCAGACAAGTTCCGATTCCTGATAAATTGTGTTTCATCCAGGTTGTATGAGTACATTGAAGATTGTACAAATTACGAAAAAGCCATCTAAATATTGGAACAACTATATATCAAGTCACTTAATGACATCTCTGCTAGGCATCAGCTTCTGACCAGATGCCAGAAACCAGAGGGTTCCATTGAGAATTTTCTTGAGAAATCTTCGTAAAAATTGCAATTATAAAAAAAATCATGGCAGAACAATACAGAAAAGAGCAAACCAGAGATACCATTATAAGTAGGATTTCATTCAATTACATGAAGCAGCAGTTAATGGAAAATTCAACCCTGGATCTATCATTGACCTTCAATCAAGCATGTGCACTTGCTCTCGTCCAAAGAAATTCACAACTTTACTCCCCTACAAACATTTCATTGGCCCCAGGTGTAGTAGCCACTGTTAGTATCAAGAGTGAATATTCAGAAGAGAGCGCCACAGCCCCAGCACTGCCAAAATTATCTGACCAGAAAAAGAACCAATTTAATGGTAAGGCAGCTCATGATTGGAAAGTCACATGATTTAATTGTGGAAAAACGGACACTTTTTGAAGGTTTGCCAATCTAAGACCAAATCATTTGGGACAATAGGCATGATGGTTAATTTTAAACCCAGTTTGGGTGTAATCCTGGATATGTATCCCCCAAATCTCTCTCATACAACTACATTGATCACCATAAAAGTCAGACAGTTTACTGCTCTTATAGACTATTGTAGTTCAAAAAGCTTTGTTAGTGAAGACACATTCAACATATTAAACCCGAATTTTATAGCTCTTAAAACCATGGAAGACAACTATACTGGCGTTTGCGTTACCAATATAGAAGTAGGTGGCAGGAAATATGGAAGAATAGAATTTGGGGTTTTCGATAACCTATACATGCAGTAATTCTCAGATATGAATTTCAGAAGCTACACAAAAATGTAATCTTCACTTATAGTCATCTTGTCTTCCCACTGTTTGAATAGCTTTTCAATTCATAACAAAGAACATCATGTCATCCTTTAAAAATCTTCTTCCGAGTGTTGTATGTAAATTTATTGTATGCAAAGGAGCATAGATTTTCTTTTATATGCTGTATTTTGAGGAGGGACACGAATACTGTTGTTCAGTTCAGTTTCTTTTGTTAAATAAAGCCTTTCTTAAAGTTATTGCCATCTTGTCTTCCTGCTGTTTTTGAATTGCTTTTCAATTCATAACAAAGAATATGTCATCCTTTGAAAATCTTCTTCTGAGTGTTCCATCACTTTTTAAGATCCATGTCTATTGGTTTGATTTATTTAGGAAATTGAAGAGACAACCTTTTTCTATATATGTTGCTTATCTTCATCATGTAGGCATCAAAAACATTACAAATTGTAGTTATAATCACAATCTTCTTATATTGTTTTAATTTTGGTTTTAACTGCAAGAAAATAAAGCTAAAAATTAAAAAAAATACTTTTGTATACTTAATGCTGCTTTTTAACTGATTTTTGTCATCAAAAATTAACCTAAGTTAATTAAGTTACATCATAATGGATGACTGATAATGGAATGAAATTAAAAATTGTGTTTAAAAATCTTTAACAATAAAGTAGCTTTTATAAAAATAAGGGATCTTATGAAAATTAGTTAATTTTAAAAATATTAGTTTTTACTTAAAATATAGTGAAAAAATATATTTATTTAGAGTAGGTACCTTTTACCCAGCAGTTCAAAGGTCAAATGAGTATTGTATTAGCTCAGCTCAGAATCAGGAAGAGACAGCTGAAATTCCTTCTTCATATAATGAGGACAGAGGGCTTGGAAAATTTAACCCTCACAAGGCATATTGAAGGCAAGAGCGATAGGGGAAAGCAGTGAGTCATCTACCTGATGAGTTTGCTTGATTGGATAGTGGAACAAGGTTAGGGGCCTTAGCAAACAAAGAAAAACTGCTAAGAGCTACAAGGGATAAGAAGTTTTGGCAAGCCACGACCAACCATGTCCTGAATGGGTGTGGCATAAAAAAGATAAAAGTCTAGTTAAATTTATAGAAGAACTGAAGTATGGATGACCTAAAATGACAAAACTGATCACCCTCCCATCATCATATGATGGGCAACACTAATATAATACATGCAAGAAAACCTCATGAAATAAAAATACTGAATAAAATATTTCCTTACTTTGACTTGTGCTACCCCAACCAGATATTTCACAACGTGTTCCTGCAGACATACTCAGATTTTGAGGTGGAAGACAGACTGGTTGAACATAATCATTGAAAACTATTCCATTTCCATTTCTGTCTGGTTGCAGCTTAATGAGGCCAACGTCATAATCATGGGTGAGGCCTGCAAATAACAATTATCACAATCATAACAACAGTCATAATCATAATAGTGGTAAAGGTAAATTGAGATAAATATTTGTGTTTCAGAAATAAGGTGTGGCAAAAAATCATTATGGATAAAGAAACATCATTATATATCAGGATATTTTAAATGAGAAAAGATTATTAATCAAAAAAATAAAACATGAAAGCTTTTGATCAAACAAAACAATCACTGAGACAGTCAGGCATTTTTGAGAAGCAGATACCAACAAGTCCTTTGATTCAGTGTATTTGATCATGCATAAAATTTCCCTTTTTCTTAAAAATATGGTTAAAAAACATCATTTGGGCCTTACAAGTTGTGGCATTTGAAATGCTTACCAAATGTCACAGACTACCTGCCTTAATACCTAATGCTGCAATATTAAATGTAAATAGGACTGATTTCTATACAAAGTCGGGCTATCTGCTAGGCTAATGTTTCCCCAGATGCCAATAGACTACCATTATTTCTTGTAAATGATCTGTGTTTGATTAATATTATTAAATATCTTAGTGAAGAACTTACTATCATAGGAGGGATGTGCGATCAAATGCTCCACTTGAAATGATTGCTCATGTGTGTCCCAGATTTTGCTATTCAGATCTCCTGTCTGAAGCAATATATTTTCTTTCTTTAAATTGTTTCTGAAAATAATAAAATATTATTCATATTTGAAATACAATTTTGCTTAAAGTGGTCTAATATTTTTTAAATATATCTACAAAATAAATATGGCACTTGAAATAAAACAAAACAAAAATATGAACTTTGGAAAGTTTATTCAGTTTTGATGTGAACTTATCTGAAAAATACAATTAAAGTACTATGTAAACAAAACAGGATGTTATTATCTTTGATGGTGAACATCCCTGTTGTAATGTCCATATAACCACTCTGATGATGGTTCATGTGAGCTGAAAAGCTTAGATCATGGAACAGCAGAATAAAAAAATATTCAAATGTTGGGCAGTTTTTGCCTTTAATTTCTCCTAAAACTAAATGCACTATATGAAGCTTAGAACAGATCATGATCAAACATAATAGACATTCGTTGTCTGTTATATTTAACAAAATATATATATGTATATATATATATATATATATGTGAACATAGAAGTCAACACTTAAAGGCGACAGTCTGTTCCATGCTAGATGCAATTGTCAGGCCACAAGTGCTGTTATTTTTCTCGGTTATTTATATATACGGGACAGTGGTGCATTGTGGGTAGTCTATTTTGGTGGTTATTTTACTGGGAGTCGTTTATTTATTTATTTGGGTTAAATCATTTTGCTTGTTTTTATATATTTTTATTTTTATTTCTTATCTTATATATTTATTTATATATTTTTATTTTAATCGGTGTTTTTATTAACACAGTAAATATTTGTTTATATCGCTTATTTAATAATTTTGTTTTCGTTTGGGAAGATAAAGCTATTTATTCAATTTTGGGGTTGGTTATTATAGTTTATTCTAACTATTATTTTTTTTTGGTGGGGGTAACAGTTTTTAATTTGTTTATTACTTCAGGTATTTATTTGGATTGATTATCTTTATTTGTTTTTTCTAACGGTTACTTTATCTGGATTGGTTTGTTAGTTTATTTATTTGGATGAATTTAGGTCAATTTATTTTACTTATTATTTATTTCTTATACTGTATATTTTCTCTTTTTCTGGTTTTTGATTTTTAAGTAACGTATTTTTTTTATTGTTATATAACAGTTATAGCTATTATTTTCATCTAATTTTTGGTTTGATTTTTATAGTCTAACTAATATTTTTGTCATAATGGTTTGCTAATTTGTTTATTATTTACTTTACTTTTTCAGTTCATTGATTTTGTTTCTTATTTTTTATTCTATTTTGTCTATTCTAACAGGTGTGATTTGGTAATTTATTTTGCTTATTTTATTGTCATTTTGTTTATTTATTTATTTTTTATTTTACTTTATTTTTTCTGTTTTCGATTTTTAAGTAACATAGTAAAAATTTGTTTTCATGTCTGCATTTTGAGATGAGCTCGGATCTTTTATTTAATAATTTATTTTGGTCTGGGAAAGTAATGATAGCTATTTTTTCCTCCAAGCATAATTTGCATTTTTTTGATTGGTTGTTGTAGGCTGATGATCTTTTCCTTATTTTTCAAAGATATTTTGGTGTGATGTGCGTTTTTTTTTTTAATTTCCCAGATATTTAGAAAGCATTGTACAGTTCGCATATTTACTATTTGTGAAAGAACTTTTGTGTGCATAATTTCTTTGTTTCCAGGGTCCTTCAGTTACTCCTATGCATACTTTTTCTTCATTATCTGGTGATTTTACCGTGGCTTGTTCTCACAAGAATTGCTTGAAGCAATCTGACATAAAGGTGGTCTTCCAGTAAGAGTGGATGTAAGCAAGTAATCCAAAGGCAGCAAAAAGAGGCAGCATAGGGCCTGAATCACAGTTCTCACTGTCATATCTGGGTAGGGAATAGCAAACAGAAAATGAGGGTACTTGACAATAATCATCAAGATGTACTTATTCCTTTTTTTCGACGGAAGTGGTCCCTTAAAATTCAGGATAAGTCATTGAAAAGGTTGAACGCTTTTTATAACCATTCCAGTTCTCGGTTTTTAAAACCTAGGCTTGAGCTCCACACATATTTGGCAGGTCTTCTCGGCTCCCATTACGTCTTCAACTGAGAAGGGCAAGTTTCTTATTCAAACTATGTTGAACATTCTTGTCACACACGAGTGGTACAGTTCCTAATGTAGTTTAAGGAGATCATCTCTAGAGGTAGTTGAGCCATATTTTGAGAGTGTGTCAGTATTTTCTTTGCTGGGGCAATAAGTTAAATCAAATGAGAAGCAAGAAAGCTCCATCCTCCACTTTGCTATTTTCTCATTTTTTATTTTACTTGCTGTTTTAAGGTTGAACATAAATGCTACCAATTTCTGGTCTGTAATTAGCTTGAAATGGTGACTGATTAGATAGTCTTACCACTTTCTAAGTGACTTGACAATAGCATATGTCTCTTTTTCGACTGCTGAGTGTTGCTGTTCAGACCCACTAGAGAGTTCTTGATAAGAATGTCTTAACAACGTAGCTATAGCACAGTCTGATGCATCAGTCTCAACTACCATGGGTGCAGAAGGGTCGATCATTGTGACAGCAGATTCTGCAATGTTTCTTTTTAGATATTCAAACATTCTGATGGTGTGAGGATACAAGGGGAATTTGGAAATTGCTTTTTAATGGATGTACATTTTCAGAGAATGAAGGTATCCAGTGTGTATAATGTGCAAACATCCCCATTGCTTGTCAAAGAGAAGGTAAATTACTCAGGATCAGCAAATTAAGAAATGGTTTTAGTTGTTCTGGATGTAGCTTTATGTTATCTTATTAACAACATATCCGAGTAATTTAATATCATCTTGCCTAAAAAAGCATTTATTTTTTATTAGTTTAGCATTGACATATTTTCCTATTGCTGCCATAAACTGCTTAAGATTCCTATCATAGTGGAACTGGTCATGGCCGTATAGTTACATTATCTATACAAAGTTACCTTTTAATTTTTATTTTAAGATTATTTCATCTATTATTCTTTGCAAGCTGGCCACACTGCTCATTACACTGAAGGGGATTCTGCAAAATTGGTACAATTGACCTCCCACCATAAATGCAGAATAGGCTTTGTCACTTGGTTTTATTGCAACCTGGTGGTAAACACTTTGAAAATCTAGTGTACTATATATGCCATATTTAGCAATCTCTCCAATTATGTTGTTGATATGCTGATATGGATATGCATTCTGCAGCGTTAATTTATTAATGGTCTGCAAATAGCTGATAACCATTCTCTTTTTGTGGTTTTTTGAAGATGTTACCAAGGACTTGGAAGTTCTATTATCTCTTCTTTAAGCATTCTTTTAATCTCAGTATTAATGAAATATTTGTCTTCATTTGTATGCCATTTTGATTTTATGGCTATTGGTTTGCAGTCAGGTATTAAATTTGCAAAGAGTGTCAATTAAGACATGTTAGCCATTGTTAGTTCACATGATTTTAATGACAGTTTGGGTCCACCAAATGGTATCTCAACATGAGAGTGTTATTGAAGGAAATCGTGCTCCAGTATTGCACTACAGCAGAGGTCCTTCATTATTAAGAATTTTACTTTATTATACGAGACCTGTTTTCTTTTCAAGTCAACAAAACAATATCTAGGGTCTTGAGACAATATTGCTGCATTAGCCATTGCTACTCTGCTAGAGCATGGAAAAATTTGCCACTGGTTTGAATTTGCAATACCTTTAAAAATAAAATTTTCTGTGCTACCTGTATTAACTAATGCTCCAGAGGGAATTCATTGGCCTTGATTTTTATAGTAGTTTTTGATAAGCAACTAAATGAAGCTAATGAGAATGTGCAGAGAATTAAGATGCTTTTTTTTTTTGTTTTTACAGACCAGTGACTTCTTTTCCACATGAAAAACAGTTATCATGGTCATGAGAAGCAAGAATGCATTTTGCCTTTGCAGAAAAAACAAAGTGTACCTCATTGAAACCATGATTTCTGGTGACTCAAGAGAATCATGTGGTTGAGAGGGAGCAGAAATGGGAAGAGATCCTTTGGTCATTGCAGTCACAGAGTCTTGTGGAATGAAGGATTTTGCATTATGTTGAGCTAGTTCTAAAATTCTTGTTTGGTCGTGGGATTACTGGAGAGTAAATTTTCATTTTCTAATAGACACTGCCTAATGTTTACTGACAATAATCCATTAATGACTATGTCCCTTACTAGCTCTGTACAGCATTTTTCAGCTATAACAGCTGTGAGAGATGCAATCTTTTCTAAGTTTGTTTAGTTCCTAAAGAAATTTGTCGCTTGTTTCTGAGGGCTGCTGGCATCTTGTAAAGAGTAAATAACGAGTGACCATTTCATTTTTCTTTCTGATATACAGTTTGCCCAGAATTCCTTGGACAATCCACATGTGTGGCTGCATCTGAGAAATACTCATAGACACTAGCTGATACATATTTTGTTAATTAATGGAACTTGCTGGGTGTTCTATTGCAAGATTCTTCCAAGAACTTTTCAAAGGTTTTTCACCAATGACAGTACTCTCTTTCAGCATTTAGAAAATTTGGATCTGTAGTTTGTTTGGGCAGAGTATATATTTCATCATTGTGAAAAAGAATGAGTCAAATTAATTGTAATATAGTAACAACATTAAGTAGAGGCTTATGAAACTTTATTTGACTCATTTTGCTTTAGTGCAAGACTTAACATGGTCAGCTTTATTTGGGAAATTCAGTTTTAGTGCTGAAAATGTTTATTTTATTATAGTGGTTAGTTACAAGCAAGAGGAGAGATGGGATGTACTTATTTTATTACCACAAACACTGAACACTGGACAATATTTTGCTTTTTGTTTACAATAATTTCAAAGATATACTCAACAATTTGTAACCTAAAAGAAAAACAAAGTAGAACCCATGTGTTTCTGTTAAATTTCTAATAAAAAATATGATGAAAATTAGAAAATACATTTCAAAAAAATAATTGGTCTTTGAAATTGCTTTTTCAAAATACATTGTTGGAAAATTTCATGAATATATGACTAAGACCCGAGAAAGACAAAAAATTAAGCTGGCTTAAACACTGCGGTTAAATCAATTTTTAAAAAACCAGTATTATAACATCTTTTTCAAGTTATCTGCTATAAAATAAAACTCTTAGAGAATACATAATATTAAAAAAAAGGCAAATTTTAAAAGTTGCATTTCACAGGGCAAAATCAAATCTTGTTAAAAAGAAAGAAAGCAAAAGGAAAATGACATGTAAAAAAGCTGAAATTCAATTTTTAAACAAATTTTTACCTTTTTTTTTGTTTTTTTTTTTAATGAAACTTACTTTAAACAATGAGCAGCAGTGAGTAGCCAAAATTTATTGATAATGGCAGCTCCACAGTGATGCAGTTTTCCCCAGAACCAAACTTTCAAAATTCTTGCTTGCCATGGGAAAGCACCATATTTGGCAACCTGACCACCAGGAAAGCGTTGGTAACTTTGTTTTATTGGTCTTCTGCCACATGTCACTATGAAACAAAAACACAATACTTGACAAGCAAAGGGATAAAATTCCAGACGTTTAGTATGTATTTATTTTACTAAGCATTTTTCAATATTTACTATTATGATCTTAGTATATCAAAAGGTCAAATAGTGGGGAGAAATAGGAAGACTATATAGTGCCATTCCTCCAAATAATGAGAACCTGCTTATTGATATTTAGTATAACATGCATAAAGATATGAGGAAAGGAACAAAATTCAGAAGACTGTGGTAGCCACTCTTCCAATTAATGAAAGTGTGTCACTGATTCTAATGATTTTCAGTTTAAGTTTGAACATAAATTGTCTTATATTTTCTGAGTGTTTTCACCTTTTGTAAGCCATTATCCAAAGAATCTGTTTACAGATTAATAAGAATGCGTCTAAAGCAGCAATATGTTGTTCTTCTTGGTTGTTTTCAAATATTGCATCATCACAAGTCAGATTTGTGAGTCTTGTATATATTTCAAATATGTTATCATTTGTCAGCTTTGTGCAAGTTGACCTGTGAAGATATGCAACATTATGGCCGCAACATTCCCTTTATTTCTATTTGTGTGCTTATACTTAACTCTGACTGCCATGTTTTCAGAGATCACTTGTTTTAATTAGGTATGTGCTAAAGTTCTTTTGAAAACTAGAGACCGAATCATTTAGTATTATGTGCCATGTATGATATTTGTGGGCAATCATGTATCTTTCGATACATGACTGATGAAAGATTTTTTTACCACAGTAGGTTGCCATCTTTTTCTGTGGTAGACTACCATCCAATGCTATAGAACGCAGTCTCTCCTGCTATTTATCCATAGTTATTCATACCTTTCCAGGGTATTAGCACATAAGTGAATGCAATAGCAGAAAAATTATCCTGAATCCATTACTCCACTGTGCCTCCTCTAGAGACTGGATACTCAATTGAAAAACAATATTTTGCTGGAAACTTTTGCACACAAATAAAAAAAAAAACCTGCAAAGTGTATTTGCATTTTATTGATAGCATCAAAATTGTTATCCTGGAAGTTAAACTCTTTCTGAATGAAAGTTAGTTTAAATAAAAAAAAAAATACATGAAATACTTCTAATGACAATTCAAATGGATCATATGCAATATAGGTGAACGATTCAACTGGAAAAATTGAAAATAAATACAATGTATCTTAAATACAAATTAGAGACATGTCATTATAGATTGTTCTATCTTACATAAATTATCAACATTTTGTGACAGTTTTTAATATCAACTTGAGATTTTTCTTGTTAAAAAGTTGAATAATTTTAACACATTCAACATTATGGATAAAAAAAGATAGTGAATTTTATACAATGTTTTTTTTCATGAGCAAAGCAAATTCATGGGTTTGGACACAAAAAAAAAGGAGACCTCAGAATGACATCAAAATCTGCAAAAATGTTTCATCCTTTAATAGTCAGTTGTGCTTAGTTTAATTTGTAACATATATAAATGTAGGTAGAAAAAAAGCAAATGTTTATAAAATAGCAAGGGTCACAAAACACTGCCAATCAGGTTTGGAGCCCTTGTTTGAGGGTTTCAGGGCTTAGTACACATTGATTTTGGACATTATATTCACCACCCTGACTCCAGAATTTTGTAATCATTTGGTTCACTCATCACTATGTTTCAGGAATTGACTGGTGATTTTCTCATTTTCATTATTTTTATATTAAATTAAAAATAATTCATATGCTCTTTATTGATGTTAGGCTCATTTTTTTCTCTGTGCGTGTGTGTAGAATATCATGGTTATTTCTGTTTTTCATCATTATCTTGGCTCTTTATACTTTCTCCCTATTCCTTCTTTTTTTTTTCTCTCTTTTCAGCTCTTTAGATATAGAAATACAGGAAAATGTAGTGTAATATTTACCAGTATTGAAAATGGAACTAAGGAACAGAGTTCAAGTTTTGGTTAGGGGTGTTCATTTTCACTTACTACTGTCATTTGAAAATGAAGCAATCCTCCAGCCATGCTCTATCTCTACAAGAGCTAAATCTGACCTAAAATGGAATACTGTTCAGGTGAATTATATTCCTTGTTTCCACCAGTTCAGACCTTTATAGATAGGACAAGCTACACCATGTACACAGAGTAAACCAATCTACATTCCTTTAATATCCCATTGGTGAGGAGGATGTCAGACAGCCTTTTCCTCAGAACTACTGCAGTTTGGAAAAAAAAAGACTCCTGAGAAGATGCTTTCTTTATCATTACAATCTTAACTTCTTGAAGTAGAGCATCAACAATTATCCTATATATCCTAATAAGCAACCCTATCTCACTCCCTTTTTGCCTATACAATATCCCCCGTTCAGTAACCTACTATCTTGAGTGGCACTTAGGGGACAAATCTGTTTCACCATCAGAGATGTAAAAATTGCTTATTTCTGGCAGGCCACAAGGACTAACATAGAAGAGAATTGGTGAGTGAACATTTGTATAAGTCAATCTGTTTTAACTTCCAGCTCGGTGGGTAAATGTAAAAGATGTGACAATCTTCTTTATAAGCCCTAACAGTAGGTGGCATATATCTCCAAGTATAGGATTGGTGTATATAGAATAAATTCCAATAATCAAAAAATACTATTCTTAAAAGAGTGCTCAGTACAGAGTAGAGCAAATATAATTTATTCAAAAATAACATAAATATGAGATTTTATAACATATTTATGTTATAATTTTCGAATAAATTATATATATATATATATGCATATTTCATTAAAATAACTGACAAGGTACTATGGTTAAGCTTTTTATCTAATTTTTCTTATATATATATATATATATATATATATATATATATATATATATATATACATACATTAAACACACCAATTCATTCACTATCTCAGTCACTAAGACTACTTTCAAAATCTACCACAACTCTAACTGTAGAAGTTCATAACAACATATTTATTAGAATGCACACTATGCGAGAAACAATATGTTGGAAAATCTGAATGGCCCTTTCACTACAGAATTACTAATTATCAGAATCAGTTTAAGTCAGTTCCCCATGAAAGATTAATGCCTGTAGAATATTTCTGTCTAGAAAAACATGATTTTTAATAGCCAAGCAAAATTTGCAATTATCGAAAGAATAGAAATAGACACAAAAGATAAAGTTGAGAAAATACTAGAAGAACATGAAACCAAATGGATTTTGTGCCTCAAAACACTTTGGATGAATTTAAAAGCAAACAGCACAGATAGAATATATAATCCCATAGATCACCCCTCCTCATATTTCTCTCTCATACATTATAATCTCTGCATGGTTGAATATACTCTACATAGAAGAGGACACTACCCATGAAGAGCCCAAGCTGACACCCCTATTCCCTCTCAGTCTCAACCACCCTAAACAGACATGCTTGGAGAGGTGATGAGGTCTCCCACATATACACATTCACATAAATATATATATATATATATATATATATATATATATATATATATATATATATATATATATATATACACACACACATACATACAACACACACACCCCTTCCCAGCAACCAATAAAGCTGTCAAAATTATTAAGGCGATAAATCTGAGACTCATGAGTCCCCCAACCTCCCCTTAAGAGAACTTGAAAAAGGCTTTTGACCAATAAAAGGACTGACCAAAAATTAACAAAAATATAAATAAAAACTACAGGCAAAGTTCACTTTCTTCAGAGAGAGTCATTCACCTCTGTAGTTCACTGCTACTAACAAGCAGGAATTTTTTCTCCTGATGATGGCCATGCTGGCCGAAACTAGTCAAGGAACCTAATTTTAAAAAATAAAACAAAAATAATATACAACCCAGTGTCTGAAATTTTAATTTTTTAACGTTTTTTTTTATTGTTCAAGACATGTGTGTGTGCAGCATGTATAATAGCATCTGAAACAAAAGTGATGAGACAAAGTGGAAAATTTATTGATGACACATTTTGCTGAGACCATCTGTTCCCTTTGGCTTCTTCAGGATTTGAATGGAAAAAAAAAAAAATAAAAACCCAACTATGTGAGTAAAAATGCCTTGAGATTTTTGAGGATTAAAAAAAAGAAAAAAAAAAGGCATTGATATATGTATATACTTGAGTGGGTATGTAATTAAGCACGCAAACACACACACACACACACATATATATATATATATATATATATATATATGGCCGAGTGGTTAGAATGATTGATTTCTGACCATGAGACTGGGCTTTGAATTTCACCATAGTCAATTTGTCAGGAAGATGATTTCTTGATGTTAGCAGTCTGGAGGAGGTGATCCCAGCTTGTTGCACCTTGAGGTTTAATATTTAATTCATATTTAAATTATTTTTTAATAGTAGATTTTAGTAATTTATTTTTATGCTTAGTAGTTATTTTATATTTACATTTATAAAATGTTTTTTTAATTTTTATTTAATTAGTTTATATTTTTCTTATAGTCCACTTAAGTATGGTTGTTAATCTATAAATTCTATTTAGTTATTTATTTATTAGCACATAATTATTACCTATTAATCTATATTTAATATATAATATTTTATTAAATTTACCTAATAATTTATTTTTATTATTTCATTAATTAACTATTATTTCAATAATCTTATTATATTATAAATATTATTATTTTAGATGTTACCTTTAATTACCCTTCTTTAAAGTTTTTTTAAAATAATTATAAAACCTTCTCTAATTTAAAAAAAAAAAGATTAAATTTCCGTATGTAATTTTTTTCTTCTTTAAAAAAGATTTTTCGTGATGTCAACGAACACTCGTTGCCACTTTTGTAATATCAACAAATACTCGTTGTCACTTTTATAATGCTCGCTGTAGTAGAGACTTTGTAATCGCAGATACGATAGTAATGCCATTGAACAATACTGATACCTTTGAATGCTCGATAGTACTCGCCCGAATAGTAACCACCAAATAGTGACCCGATTAGTAATCCATATAGTGATCACTTAGATTC